CTCTCTCTCTCTCTCTCTCTCTCTCTCTCTCTCTCTCTCTCTCTACTTGTATATTTTTTATATTTAATATATTATTATTTTTAATATTCTATTTTTTACGTTATAATATTTTAATATATCAACATAATTATTTATATATATTTTGAAAAAATATAATTTACTATAATGTATTCTTATTGAAATTTGATAAACACAAATAATAAAAATGAGTTGTAATAGAATATTAAAAGAATATTAAATATAAATATTTAAATTTATAAGTTAGTTTTTATTTAAATAATAATAGAACAATTTTTAATTAAAAAAATAAAAAATATTGCACTTACCTCGCTACCTTTGATACAATATCCTTGTAAGAAATCTATACAAATTGGAGTACTGGAAGAAACTTTGATGTGACGATAAGGACAAGCATCCCGTGTACAGCAACCTTCCAAGAAATACTTGCAAGTTGGCATTTTTTCTGGACCTATATCATGAGATAATGGACATTTATCCAATAAACAATTTCCTTGAAGAAATCTGAAATAAATTTTCTCAATTAAACAAATATTCTTTTATATATATATATCAAAAAATAAAATTTTACTTTTTACAAAGAAAAATTTGTTTTTTATCATGACGTTTTACACAAATTCCTTTCTCATGATTTGAACAATATCCAAATTTTTGAAATATTAAACATGGTTGATTATTTTTTTTGCATTTTATTGCGTAATATTTGTATACTTTTTTGTTTAACTTTATTGCTGCAAATAAAAAAATATTATTAATATTATATATAAATTATATATAAATTTATAAGATTTTTAATATTACATTGTAGAATAATATAGTAATAAAAATTCAATATAATGTAAAAGATAATGTAATAATATTTTAAATAATTAATAATAAAATAAAATAAAAACTAAAAATATAATATAAAAATGATAAAAATATATAATTAATATAATATACTATATAATATAATATAATATAATATAATATATATAATTACATACCTTATAGTATTCCTATAATTTATTTTTTGTGATGAATTAGATAATTTAATTCCATTCGTTGTATTTATTGTTTTTGTACTTGAATTTCCTGATGTTTCTTTTATAGATCTTACTTTACATAATTTTTTTCCATTAGTGGCTGTAATAAATTTTGAAATTTTGAAATTTATTAATTGTTTTTCTGAAATTAGAATTAATACTAGAACTATCTATCTGTAGTATCTAAATATTTATTTTACATATAAATGATAATAATTAAATAACATAAAAATAAAATATATTACATAAAAAATAAAATATGTTTATATATATATTTTTTATTTTTTTATATATAATTATATTTCTATTTCAATAAAATATAATATTTTGCTAAAAACATTTTCATATTTTCAATAATTATAAAACAAAAAATATAAGATGAAAAATATTATTATTCATATTTGATGTGTTTTATATTATAACTTACTTTTTACTCCATAACTGTTACGTACTAAGTGATTTTTAGAAGATTTATAAACAATTCCTCCAATTGTAATTAGTTCCATTTTATTATTGCTATAGAATATTTAAATTAATTTTTAATATATAATCATAAACCTATCTAAAATTTCAAAAATATGTTATTATAAATACATACACAATTTTTTTTGGACTAAGAGTTGCTTGTTCTCTGGTACTTGTTCTTTTTGATACAGTTCGATCTATTCTGTATTTGTTCATTTTAGGTTTCATAACTGGTAATTTTATGAAATTAGTATTTTTTTTAATTGACTGTTGTAAAGTATTTATTATTTTTGTTTTCATAATTTTTTGTGATGTAGGTTTAATATTTTTTATTATTGAATTTGAAGATTTTTTAATCTTACAAAGTTCAATTTGTGGAGTACTAAAAGATTTTCTTGATCCTCGCCTTATACGAACAAGTTTTCTTTGAGATAAAACTACAATATTAGAATTATTTAATTTTTTTTGATTATGATTAACCTTTGGAGAATTTGTACTTTTAACAAGTTTTAATCTTGAACAAACAGGATAAGTAATATTTTGTATCATTATTTGTTTTTGTTCTATTGGTTTAGATTGTACAGAGGAAGACAATTTCTTCATTAATTTTGGATTAACATGAACTGATTTTTGTATGGAATTTGTACTTGTTATATTTACAATATTATTTTGCACACTTTCATTAGAATTAATAACACTCTTCATCATTTTTGGATTAACATGTACCAAAGATTTTATATGTAATTTTGGATTAATATAAATTGAAGAACTTTGAGGTTTAAAATTTGGATTAATATATACATTAGTACTTGTTAATGCATTGCACGAATTATTAGATGTTTTAGGTAATTGAGACTTATGAAATAAATTTATATATTTCTCAGATTTTGTAAAACTTAAATTCTGATTTGTAACAGATTTTTCCACATTTAATTTATCTGATGATTTTTTCTTATGATTTTCTATTAAACCTAAAATAAATATAAAAATAATTGAGATTATTAAATATATCATTATTAAATTTATATAATATAGTAATCATAGATTATAAATTATTATTCATAAATATGTATATGTATATGTATATACTATTGCAATCAAAATTGATAAGATATTATTTTATAAGATATTTTCTATATAAAATTTTTAATTTTTCTAATCTTTATAATCTTTTTATTTTATAATTAAAAATATATAATTAAAAATAAAATGATCAGAATTAAACATAATTATTTAACGATGCAGCTAAAATAAAAAGGATTAATAATAGAAAAATATACTATAAATATTAAAAAAAATGTTATAAAAATGAAAAACAAATGGAGTAAGAATATTAATTGACATAAAAAATAAAAAATTATAAATATACATCGTAACTTATTATCATAAAAATAACCTTAAAATATTATTTTTTATTATTTTCATTCTTTAATGTTTTATTCTAATATTTATTTATACAGAAACAATATAATTATTGAAATAATATTTAGATTAAGAATAGAATATGATTTTGTTTTTTTTTTTATTTTATATATATATATATATATCTAATTATAATATTTTAAATATGTTAAAATATATGTTTAATACTAAAATAATTGCACAAAATTATAAACTTACGCGTTAAATAGTGTATTTCCTTGATTAAACTTTCATCCATATTTAGTAGCATAAAATATTTTTTGGTTATCTGTTTTTTAATAAATGAAGAAAGAGGAATCAAAAAAAATAACTTCGCACAATGAAGAAAATTATTTCATAAAACACTATATTTTATAAATCACAATACGTTGACATTCGTTTTGTTATAGCACGGAAATAAACTATTTAAAAACAGATGTCGCTTTATGAAAAATTACTTAAAAAACACTAGCACTACTTGTGAACAATATAAGAACTATTTTCTATTAGAATTAAACAGCGGGATATTTTAATTATAGTTTTAGTTTTTCTGAGAATAATATAACAATAATCTTTATAATATATACTGTAAATTTAAATATGAATTATATATATATATTAGGTTAGATGAATTTTAAAGATTTAATAAAGAATATTTATAGAAAGATATTAAAATTGTAAAAAGATATAAATATATAACAGTTAAATGTATAAATAAAAAATATGAAAAATGTTATATATTTAGAAATTTTTAACTAAAAATTCTCAATTTTTACTTTTTTTTTATTATTTTTAATTTAATAAAAATAATTTAAATTTTAATTTGTATAATATATATATAATGTACAATTTAAATTATTCACTATTAATATTTTAATTTTTTTTTTATACTATAATACTGATCACAAAGTAAAATGGTGGAAAATAAAGATTTATAGATATATTGCACTATTTAATAAAGTTTGTTAATCTAATAGAATTATATTATATTCGAAATATTATCATAAACTATTATTTGTATATCTATTTATTTTAAAAACTATAATTAAGTACTTATATTTACAATTTTATTTAATTATTAATATTATATGAATAACAATGACTAAGAAAGGAAAATTTGAGTTAGTATTAATGATTTAGTATATTAAAATAAAATAATGAAAATAAATATTTTGTTATTATTTTACAAAAAATGCATTGTATATATGGAAAAATATATAATAATGCAATTAAATATGGATTTTATTAATTTAAATTAATTACTTTAAATTAAACATTCTTCAAATCTTAATTATAATTTTATATAATGTATATATTTGTATAATGTATAATGTATATCTTTCAATTATTATTGATTTTTAAAAATTATTATTATAGAATTAAAGAATATAATAAATTCAAATGATTTCAGTTTAAATAATTCGCGCTTTTTTATAATGCTTTCTTCAACTTATACGCAAACGCAAACGATATTGATTTGTATCCATGAATATACTGGGTCATATATAAAAGCTCTGTAACTTATCTTTAAACTTATATACATATATCCATTTGTCGTACTCAAAGAGATATACTTTTTATGAAGAAAGAACTAAAGATTATTTTACGTGTGTAGAGGTTAGTAGTGATGTACTTAATTGTACTTAATCTTGTTTTTTGTACAGAGAGATTTTAATTACATTTTCGTAAAAATTTACATGAAATTTCATTTTATTCGCTTTAGAAATTATTAGTAACTTGTTTTATATTTTTCAATTAATATTTTTTAAATTATGCATATATTTAATTAAATTTTATAATTGTTATGTGTATTTTTCATGAAATAAAATTTATTATTAATATTCGTAAGAATTTATATAATTAATGTTTATACAATATAATATTGAAAATATAAAATTATAACAAAATATTAAAAATGGTAATTATATATATATATATATATTCCTGCAAACTTTTATATTTTAAAAATATTTAACAAATTACTATATTATTATTGTTAAATGTATTTAATAAATTTAAATAAAAATTATTTACAATAATAAAAATTTTAATATTTCTTTATAAATATATTTGTATATTGTAATAAGTTATTATTTATTATAATAAATAATGATGAAATTATCATGGAATTACTCAAAACCTTCTCTTAATAAGATTAATATATAAAATATATTGTATGTATATAAAATGTTATATATATATATCTTGAAATTAATAAATTAAATTTGTATACAAAATAATTTTAATAATTTTTTAATTATAGCAATTTTAAACTATTATGAGATATATGCTATTTATAAATTATATAATTTTTAATTACTTAATTTTTGCTAATATTAAGTATGTATTCGTATACAGTCGTAAAAGATTTGTTTTTAATTTATTATTGAAAAAATTTTCCGGATATGAAACTTGAAATAAAAATATGTTTTTATATTTATATGTTTATTATGTTTATTATAAATATTTATTATTACTTATAATTCAAAATTATTAATGCTTATATATAAATATAAAAATAAATATATATTATATATAAATTTAAAAATAAATATATTATATATTTAATATCATAATTAATAAGTTATCTAATCAATTTTTAAATAAAAATTTTTAATTTAAGATTTTAAAATGTTTGTTAAAAATATAAATGAAAAAAGAATTTATTAGAATTCAGATTATAATCATATTTGGTAATAATTAAAATTAAATTAACATATTAATTAATTATGATATTATTATAATCACAATATTATATTAATTATCATAAAATATATTCTCAGATATTTAATAAGATTTCATTCTTAAAAATAAACATATTGAAATACATATAAAAATGAATTTTTTACGAAATCTTTTAATTGAATATGCTTGAATGTAATATTTTCATTAAAATGGATAATTATTAATGCCAAAAGTTTGATTTCATTCACACTGAAATTAATTAAAATAGAGAACTAAAAAAAAAAAAAGAATAGAAGCGCGCAACATCAATATCGCGCAGGCTTCGTTCTTCCAGCATCAACGGAGACAATCTCCATATCTATCAGTACCGAAAATTTTGCACAGTGCAAGGTGGAACTCAAGGAATTACAGTGTGTCACAGTATTATTACGTAGATATTGTATTTATCTTCATTCTTCATTTTCTCTGGTTTCTTGCTTTGTGTTTTTCTTTTTTTTTACATATATGTCAGTGCGTGCATATGTATCACGTTGCACAAGAGACTACAACATTTGTCATAGTTTTGGACGGGATAAACTTTAGCACGATCTTCTGTTGTTTGTCTTTCTAATTCAACAGAAGGATCGAGACATCATTTTCTTTCACCGATGGCAGATCACGATAATATCTACGACGACGAGGTAATTAATAATCGATTCTCTTGCATTTCCTGTTATATTTTCAATTTTATTTTCTTTGTTTTGAGAAAAAATGGAATATCTTTTTGATGTTGATAAATTTTGCTTGTATAAATTTAATTGCCGAAATGAAACATGTGATAACAATATAAAGTTTAATAATATAAAATAAGTGAGTAATTATAACATAAAATATACGATATGAAAAATAAATATTAAAATCTTAAATGATAATTTTTTAATGTTAATTTAATATATGTGAAGTTTTTTATGCATATGTGTGTGT